AAAATACTAACAACTGCATCACTAAATTCGACAATAAGGTCATTCCCATCCCTTGAATAGACATGATGAGGTTTTGCCTCGATAACGAAAACCAGATCGGCGGGAATAATACCCTTCTTCCAATAGAATTGTGGCATTTCTCATGTTTTGAATTGCGACAACCTTATCTAATATCTCTAGACAGGAAGATTGTATTTAATGTTGAAGAATTAATAAAGTGACTCCTAATTGTTTATCGTTTTCAGTGGGACAATTGATCATTCAATTTAGTTATATTTACCATATAGGAAAGTTGGTCTTCATTGATGGGATTTGGCGAAGAAGAAAGAAGAGAGACTTACAAAAAGGTGCAGAAAATCGTATACACATGACACACAAGTGTATTTTTAAATTTTTTTTCTTTTAAGATAAATGACGTTATCCATTTTTCATGTTGGTAAATAGAAAGGAACCTCGATAAGTTCTATATTATCATGTATTTGTGTTGATGCACTAGGAATTATACAGGTTGGCCGGAGATGAAGTTGTAGTTCCAATTCTGAATATCGTAGTTCCATTACTGAATATCAAAAGAAGCTTTGGAGATGGTTTTGCCAGATGATATCGCCAATTGAACACTATGCGCGGTGGGTGGTTAACTGGTTGATGAATCAGAAAGCGATTTCATCTTATTAAGTATTACAGATTAAAATCTGAAATTGGTTCCCTTCTTTCCACCCAGGCTTTATCTCGATGGTCAATATCTCCTCTAGAGTCCGCAGCTTCCTGCAATAGAATAATATACATATCACAAGTAAGTAACTAACACTGATGAACATCCTATGAAATTACAGAATATATCATCAAAAATTCATCACATAACGTCTCTATAGATCCAAAAATAACTACAAAATATAACAACAGGATTCATACAAACATCTCATGTCTAAAAGCAGAGGATGGTGAATCACGGAACTTATGTTCCAACGCGGGAAGTTCATTTCTCTATGGAGTGACATCATTACTCTACACAATACACACAAAGAATTTATATACAGCTACAATATCATACAACTTAAACACAATTTTTATACAAATTTTATACAATATGTCTTTTATATATTTTGTATCTGATTTATACATAGTAAAAACAAATGGTCATACGACTAATTATATATTATACAACTTATCTACAACTTTCACACATTATTTCTACCTAGTTAAATACAACTACAATAACATACAACTTAAATACAAATTTTATATAAAATTTATACAATATGTCTTTTGTATATTTTGTATCTGATTTATACATAGTAAAAACAAATTTCATACAACTAATTATATCTTATACAACTTATCTACAATTTTCATACATTATTTCTACTCAGTTATATACAACTACAATATCATACAACTTAAATATAATTTTTATACCATATTGTTCAACTTTCATACAATAATTAAATAAATGAAAGAAAAATATATAAACAACAGAATACATTTTTTTCTACAATTTTACTACAATTTCGTAAATATAATGTATATCATGTCTTCTTCTTCTTCTTCTTCTTCTTCTTCTTCTTCTTCTTCTTCTTCTTCTTCTTCTTCTTCTTCTTCGAGTTTCAATCTAAAATTCAGCCAAAACCAAGTCTAATCTTCACCAAAACCCCTCAAAATTGAGATATAAACTCCAAACCATATTCCCAATTGTTTGCAACAACACTCAGTCCAAACAAATAATGATTTTTGAAAACCCAAATTCAAATACAAAGCTTCAAAGCTTTTTAATGGCTGTCAATGGTGGAATTGCTGCTCTCTTTTCCTTTGCTTTACATTACTGAAATTAGGGATTGAGAGATAGGGAGAGACGTAGAGAGAATTTCCAATTCTTTGCAACAACATCGAATTCAAACAAATAATATTTTTTGAAAACCCAAATTCGAATTCAAAGCTTTTTAATGGTTGTCAATGGTGAAATCGTGGGTGGGGAAAGGAGGGGGTGAGATGTGGAGAGAGAAATATGGGGGAGTGGAAGATATGTTAGAGAAATTTTAGGACACTAATTATTATCATCAATTTCCTTAAAATGTACATAAATGGTAATTGGGTATATAAAATATAATTATAGTAGAACTTGAGTAGGGAGGGTAATATATAGCCTGTTTGGCCAAGCTTCTTTTTGGCCAAAAGTTGTTTTTTTTTTTTTTTTTTGCCAAAAGCACTTTTGGCCAAAAATTGAGGTGTTTGGCCAAGCTTTTGGAAGGAAAAAAAGTGCTTTTGAGGAGAAGCAGAAAAAAGTAGCTTCTCTCCAAAAGCACTTTTTTGAGAAGCACTTTTGAGAAAAATACACTTAAAAGCAGTTTTTTAAAGCTTGGCCAAACACTAATTGCTGCTCAGAAGTGTTTTTCAAATTAATTAGCCAAACACAAACTGCTTCTCACCAAAAGTACTTTTGAGTAAAACATTTTTGAAAAAAAGCACTTCTCAAAATAAGCTGATTTTTGCAGCTTGACCAAACGGGCTAATAGTTTCATATAGTGTATAGGAATGTAAAAATTCCTTTTGGGATTTGGGATTTGGAATTTGGGATTTTGCCAAAATGTGGGCAAAATTTATGGCCAATCATGAGTTTGCCAAATAAATCCCAAATTTATTTTGGCAAAACTCATGACCTAATGGGTCCTAATTAAATACACTTTTTGTTTCTTTTTTTCTTTTTTTATTGGTTACACGTTTTTTTCCCTTCTCTTTTTTAGTCTTTGTTTTGATTTTTAAAATTTCTAAACCAAAAATACATCTTTCAAACACCTTCTAGAAAACTCGGGTTTTTGCTGCTTATCACCATGTTGAAATTCTAGATACGTCTTTGCTCAAGAGAGAACTAGAAATAAGGGAAAGCAACATCAAATACTCCAAAATTGCTGAAAATATCATAGCTGAGGAACCCACCAAAAGTTCTTGCATCATGATTGAGTGGACCAAAAAGAAAGGAGGAAATTAAGTGGGTGTTTGAACATAAAAATTATAAAATTTCGAAAAAAAGTGAAATATTTTTTCAAGTGAAAATGATATTTAAAAATTAGAGTTGTGTTTGGACATAAATATAATTTTGGGTTATTTTTGAATTTTTGTGAGTGATCTGAGTGAGTTTTGAAAAACAGTTTTTTGGAGTTTTTCAAATTTCGAATAATTCCAAATTCATCTTCAAGTGAAAATTGAAAATTTGATGGCCAAACACTAATTTCGGAAAAAAGTAAAGAAAATTCGAAAAAAGTGAAAAATTTCATGGCCAAACGGGCTCTAAGTATATCAAGGAACACAAAAACGGAATGTCATTGTTGTGGGTTCTACTCTAAAATAAAGCCGACTAGTACAACAAAATATTCCGTATTCACATAAAGTCCGAAAAGGGGCCGCACCCCAAGGAAGTATGATGTAAGTAGCCTACCCTAATATAAGCATTAGTGGAATCCGCCTACCCTTATTCCACGGCCCTTTATTGTTTTGGGTTCTACTCTATTCTACCAAAAAGAAAGAAAAGTACTGATGTGAACACAGACGTGAAGAAAGAGGACTTTTTGTTTTGGGTTCTATTCTTTTTCACTTCTCAATCGCAACTCTTACTTCTCTATCATGTAAAAATGCAGACATATGGGTGCAACTCATCTATGTTGTCTCCAAAACTTTCATGGTCGACAAGGTCGAGAGTGGTGAGGTCCATATAGGATGGAGACGTATTAGGTTATTTTGGAAATGTTTCATGTGTTGTGGTCTTGTGGATTATGACTAGTGAATACAATATCATCAAAAGACGTTAAAATATCATGGTATAGCCAGTTTTCACACTGGTCAATGAAAAATAGCCATCGTTTATCAAGTCAATGAAAAATAGTCACTATTTTGCTGCAACAGGGACCGGTCCAGTATAATATACGGGAGTTCTGGTGCATTTGTGTATGAACTCCAGCATATTATGCTGGAGCGGTATACTTTGCTAACTCCTGTAAAATTTGCGGGAGACTGGAGCACCAGTGCTCCAAACTCCAGTATATTATACTGGACAATTATACTTGCTGGAACTCCTGTAAAATTTGCGGGAATTCCAGCATAATTATGCTTGAACTCCCGTAAAATTTGCGGGAGTTCCAGCATAGTTATCCTGGAACTCCCGTAAAATTTACGGGAGTTCAAGCATACTTATGCTGGAACTCCCGTAAAATTTGCGGGCGTATTTTTCCGGATTTTGAACAGTGTTTTCGCTCAAATTTAAAGTGGCTAAATTTCGATGACTTTTGAAACTTGGCTATTTTTCAACGACCAGTAGTAAATCCGGCTATTTTTGAATTTCTCCCTCAAAAGACTTGCATCCAAGAATGTGATCTAGTGGTTAATAAAGTAAATTAACAACCACAATATCTTAGGTTCAAATTCCGACGGATGCATAAACACTAGGTGATGTGCTCCCAACAGTCCAAATATTGGTAGATAAAGTTAGCTGATACTTAACTAATCAAAATGTGCGCAAGCTAAGTCGAACACCACAATCTATTTATATATAAAAGGAGAAGCAAATCCACGATATTATACCAAGTGTCATCACAAAATATTGACATGTGTCATGTTTTAAGACAAAACTCCAATAAATTTGGAGATTCAAAAAAAATCAAAATAAAAATAAAATTACAAAATTTTAAAGAACTAACCAATTCAGTTATTCAATAGTCCCACGTTTATGAGCACATCTTTTGTAAAACTGAAAAGTAAAAAAAAAAAAAAAAATTACTCCAATTCCAAAAAAGGGCCCATGTTTTTTCATAAGTTTTTTTGTTTAATTAATTTTAAACCTAAAAATTCGACAATTTTTTTTACATTGAAATAGTAATAAACAAAAGAAAAAAATACTCCACGGCCGTCTATTCAAGAAAATGGAGTCCCACATTTTTTCATTAGTTTTTTTATTTAATTTATTAGAAATAGGAAGAGAGGAAAAAAACCACTCCACGATGGTCTTCCCAAACGTGGGCATCAAAACCTAACTCCATCAACTATCTCCTAATGTCCCAAACGTCTCTTCCTCCTTTTATTTTATTCGCCATTCCTTTTTTGTACAGAACTTTGCAAATATGGCTACAACACTTCATGAAATTAGTCAAATTTTAAGCAATTCGATGCAATGGAATCTGTAAGTGAGAGTTGTTCGAATGTGAAAAATTTCGGATCGTTTCAAGCCTCATATACCATATTTCATAGAGTTAATTTTGCAAGATAAAAAGGTAACATATTCAACTTTCATGTAGTTATTGAGTAAATCCTCTTCTCTGCCGTTTGATTTCATAAATTTTTCTTATTTCCAAATACATGAAGATGTATTATTGAAACTATTATATATATTACCCGTTTTGCTCTTTCATGTTAATAATATTCTAATTATTTTTTTAGTTTACAAAGATAATCCAAAAAAAATCATGTTACATGATTTTTTAATTTTAAGGTTATTGTTAAGGACAAAATTTTGGTTGTCGAATTTTCTTGGCTCTGTAATATCTTATGCATCACTATATTCTGAAATTATTGCTACTTATTGTAGTCAGTAGGCAACATGCCGCGAAAATCATATATGAGTTCTGGAACTAGACAATTTTGTCCTTTGTTCATTAGTTGTGTTTGAATAGTTAGTAGGAGACTTTGTTTGTGGAGTCATTTTTGGAAGAAAAAAAATAGTGATTTCAGATTTTGTTTATGCAATTTTATGTCACAGAGGCTTATTGCACGATGCTCTTACTCAACTTGCTAACTCTGGTATGAATTCTTTTTGTTCCACATAGCCTCAAAGTTCTAAGACCATTTATATAAATCGCTATTTCATTGATATGGAACGAACCATAGCAATTAGTACAGTTTACCTATAGTGAATCTTTGTACTTAATATTATCTATTATGTTCAAAGTAAATCTCTGGCAGATATTATATATGGCCGGCTCACATAGCAGTATGATACATCCTAATAATGATTGTACGTACCTTTCTATCGCGCTGCGAAAATTATATATATGAGTTCTGGTCAAGTCGTCAAGTTGTCAAGTTACTAACATGAGGTATATATACCGATCCAAAAGTGTCCTTCATCTGAGATGCTGCACATTTTATTTAAGTCTATATAGATACTAACATTGGAATCATAATTTTAAATAACTCCAAATAGGCAAAGTACAATCGTACATAGTATCACTGTAGAAGCTTTCATTGATTATCACTTCACCAATAATAAGCTTATTTAAGCAAGTACATGTTAAATTAATAGATTGTTATTTCATTGATATGGAACGAACCATAGCAATTAGTATAGTTCACCTATAGTGAATCTTTGTACTTAATAACATCCATTATGTTCAAAGTAAATCTCTTGCAGATGTTATATATGGTCGTCTCACATAGCAATATGATACATCCTAATAATGAATGTACCTTTCTAGGGTAATTGTATACATGCCTCAATAGGAAAGTATGTAATTAAGTTTTTTAGGACCAAGATACAAGAACTCGCCTTATATCGCATGAACTTCTTTGTTATCGGGCCAAATAACTTGAAAACTACGACATATAATTTGAGGCTGACATTTACACAGAGGACAGTTGTTGAGGTAACAACTGGCTCTTCATTTCATATGAAAATCATTAATCTTTGTCCTTTTGATAAGCTAACAAATCAATATCATGTGGATGAGGCAGAATTATCCGGTAATTCTTCACTTCCATTTTGTTTTAATATTAGGTATTGTAAACTTTGCGACTAACTTTTATATTTGTAGATGTGATTGGTTAGGTTGTGATCTATGGAGCTGTTCAGACCTACAAGCAAGGAGATAACAAAAGTGTCTTTATGAATGTTGAACTCGAAGATGAGCAGTAAGTCATTCACAAATACAGACTATACTTTTACAATATAACTACATATATTTTTGTTGATGGACAATTACCTTGAAACATATAGGAGGAACAGGATTTCAGCAACCTTATGGGATGAACTTGTGGATGAAATTCAACCTCACTTAAATTAGATGAACCTTTGATTGTTGTTTTACCTACTTATGAAAGCTCAAAATTTTTGAGGTTTACATATTTTACATCTACATTTGAGATTTAGTTTCAGAAAATTTTATAATTTCAAATTTTTATTTTTATACATAGGTAACTACTCAATGCGTAGCTGTTGGTATGCTTCCACACTATAGATAAATTCTACTTTGCCGCAATCTATTGAGTTTAAATCTAGGTTTGTAAGGGTATAAATGTTGTATTTGTTTGTGCAATTCACCTTATACATGCTTTTTACGCATATGTTGTACAACAATTAATGGAACTCTTTTAGAATACATGACAGACGACAGTTAACATCAGCAACAATAAAAAAAAAATATCAATAATTTTTTCGGTCTTCACTTGGTAGATATATTTGTAGATTCTACCATCATGCATAGGATTAAAGAGCAGTGTATAGAGTTCATATAAATATTGTATCTGGGTGTAGTGAACTCTGAAAGTTATATCTGTTTATTTTATTTTAGCAGTTGCTACGAAGCTTAGTTTCGTAGTTGTAGCTTCACGATCCAACCTTAATAAAAAATATTAGGCGCTTGACAATGAATGTTAGATGTAATATGCAGGAAACACAAGTGAATAAAAAACTTATAGGTAACATGTTTGTTAGTCAGTGACAACGATGCAGACAATGTTGTCATTCTTGCTATGCCGTTTCCAAGAGATGTCAAAAGTTACAAATGCATAAAGGTAGAACCTATTGAACCTGTTGGGCACCTTCAGAGCATCCACACAAAAAAATGCACGAGATTAACATTTTGTTCAGTAATCCTGAAGTACTTGGTAAGACTGATATGATATTTCTTGGTTCCCATAGCCTAAAGGGTCTAAGAAGTTGCTCCACTCATTCCAAGTCTTCATAAACTGTTCTTCATAACTCTACTTTTGAACAAACTGTAGCAAGTGGTATAATTCACCTATAGTGAATCTTCATATTTAATAATATTTTTTTTTCCAAATACAATTTTTGCATATATCAGATATGGTCGGCTCCCTTACTCTATCATTTGCTTCTCCATATCTAATAAGCTTTTGAATGTATTCAGATGGCAGCAACACCTGCTGAATACTACCACCAAATGCAAGACAATCATCTACGTTCATGATGAATCCTTCTTCAACGTCCATGTTCATTAGCAGATGATACTGCATGGATTCCACGAACACAGATATGGTTGTTTAAGAGCAACCAAAATCTTGGCAGAGATGAGGAACACATTAGCGCTAATTGTTGTTCTGTGTATCAACTCTTCTAAGGATGGGTCAAGAGAATATGAAAATTTGTGGGTTGCTTTTGTAAGATAATCTTCCTGAGTTTATCCTTTTCACATAATATTTATTAGATTTGTTATCTTTGTCTATTAGATGAAGTAAATAAAATTTATATTCTTCTATCCGACAGAAATCTGATATTTCACATGGCAACCAGTTACGCTGCTTCCTTAGCTCAGATGACTAGGATGGGGTATTTGTTCCTGAACCTTATATGACTGAACTTTGAGGTACTTTCGTAGGATAGCTGGATATTAACATCTTTCTCCTTGATGTAAGTAATTATTTACATGTGTTGAATTGAGTAGCTGGAGGAATTCATCCAAGATCTAGCGTCTAAACATATTATTTCTCACATGGAGCAAAAATTTGTCTACTCAATCACCAAGTGCAAGACAATCAACTACATTCATGATGAATCCTTCTCCAACATCCAGGTTCATTAGGAGATGATACTGTAGGGTCTCCACGGACACACAGAGGTGTAAAGAAAAATTCGTAAATTTCTCTATTCAAGGTTTATTCTCTTCAACTCTTGGAATGAGGTGACTACTTTTCAAATGTAAGAGAAGTTTAGGTAGCCACAATCTGCCATTTCAGATTGTCATTCTAAATTGTGCATTGAGCAGTTACAATTAGTTTTTCCAAAAGCCCTAAAAGGTTAAGGACCTCATGTTGTGGCAAGTGGTATTAAGTTAATAATCTTGGAGCTTAAATCATGTGATTTTTATCATATTGTAAAATATTCCCTCAATATTGTTTTTCAATTCCTTGAGCGGCGATGATGACGAAACATTAAAATAATTGCAGGCTTTGCGGCGTAGCTCTCAAAACATGTGATATATTGCGTTAACATATATATTATTCTTCTTTTAATAACTAACAATCAAAGATCTATTCCCTCCATGCTTGATGCTTTGATACCAGGTCAAAAGAGTATTTTGTTCTTTGTATTTAAAAGGAACTTTGTTAATGTGTACCAAATATTGTGTAGAATCTATTGTCTTTCTTACAAAGTTAATATATATATGTCTTAGAATCTGAAGATGGCCGATAATGAAAAGTTTCATTATCTTCCTTAATAGCTTCTTTATAATGGATATGTGTGTTTTCTCATGACTTCAATGTATGAATATCCAATGCATTTATATGTTCAACAACGAATAGTATTTGAATGCTTATTTGTTTCTACCATATTTTTCAAGTAATATTTTCTTATGAAAAATTATATTTAATATTTTCCGCGTAACGCGCGGGTACGGATACTAGTTATTAAAAATAACATCACTGAAAGACTTGCACCTTTGATGAAAAAATTAGGACAGAAGCCTTATGAAAAGGAGTTGATATTGAAATAGAAAATGTTTTATTCATCAGAAAGTTGAAAATAGGATGATTCTCCACTATATATCAAAGTCAAAAAATATTCAGCCTTGATAATATCAGACTGCCTTTACATGCCTAACGGTACATATTTATTTCTTCATCTTTGTTTCTTTTTACCATATTCCTACGAAATATCTGAGTTCATATGACATAAAGGAGTGACTCACAGGGGATTAACCTCAATGACTGAAAAAGTCAGAGCTTTTAGAAATGAAAACTAACAGACAATGGCTTTCTATAATTGGGGGCCTAATTATATGCTGAACTACGTTAGTGTAAGTGTAATGTTTTATTGTTATTTAAGAAACCAAAATTGTTGCATCATCTGTCTATTCATTGGACCTTGCGTCTTCTACGCGGCTGCCGAGTTTAACAATGTCTTCAACAAAAATCTTCCCATCTGCAACAAAAAGACTCAACATAAGTTAGAAACGTTCAGTTTTCGGCTCAATTTTGAAAGATACTGTTATCTCCCCATTAAACTTGCAAGGCATTAAGATAATTAATTGCTATCCTACTGTTGAGCAAATACATAAATCTCCATTATAGATCCTAGTAAGAGTTGCTGCTTATAAAAGCGCATTTATTTCAATAACAAAATACAGCAACTTCACTATCAACCCAAAGAAGAAGATCTTCTTTCAATTAAACATCCAACTCAAGAAATTAAAAGGAATGGAAAAATGTTAAAAGAAAAGGAAACAACAGACACAGTAAGAGACACAGTAAGAGGTGACGGCTCCCTGACTTCTTTGGAAAAATCAGGGTCATTATCAGGAATCTGGAACCACAAAAAGGTAGTTATTCTATATAAGGAATCTTTATGTTATTGCTAAGTTTTCCGACGTCTATTATTTACTACCGATGATGTCATCGATTTGAATACACACAGGGTAATTATTTAGTTAACCTGGCTTTTTTATTGACAGTTGAGGTTTGGAACTCTTAATCCAAGGACTATGCTTACTGCTTAGAGGGTGTTTGGCTAAGCTTATAAGCTGGTCAAACTAGCTTATAAGCACTTTTCGGCTTATCTACGCGTTTGGTAAAGTTAAAAGTGCTTATAAGCTGTGCTTATAAGCCAAAAATAAGCAAAAGCCATAAGTTGGTAACCCCCAGCTTATGAATTTTTAGCTTATAAGCACTTTAAGTTTGACCAAGATTTTTACTATTTTATCGTTAAAATATTCTTTTTTAGAACAAAACTCTTACATTGGTACTCACTGCCTCAAGTATTGTTTCAATCCGCCCCGCCTCTTCAAGTCTGCAATTCTCATTGACTGTTTAAGATAAGCAAATTCTCTATTCCTTGGCATATTTGTATCTATGTGATTGTGTACTAATCTTTGAACTGTATGTAATAAATGAGGACATATCAAATTTTTGGTGCATTGCTTTCTAAGTGTTGTGGTGATGAAAACCGTGTTTGTTTCTCTTCAAATATTTATTTAGGTTTATTTTTTACTTAGAAAATTTTGTCAATTTATTAATTATTATAACTTATGATTATATGCTTATTATAAAATAAATTTTATTTATCATAAAGGTTTTCTTATCTAAGCACAATTGTATTTAGAATAAAATGACAAATAGAATATTTTGTATTGAATCGATCTGGAATCTACAATTTTGAAGAAATTATGCCCTTACAAGTGTAAACAGTTCTAAGGTTATTTAAGTCATTTTAACAGAAAAAGAGCTTATCAGCACTTTTTTCACAAATACTGCAGCAACTTATTATCAATTTCAGCACTTGTATCCAAACATGTAACTGCTTATTTATTAAATCAGTTTCAGCAGCTTTTCAGCACCTAATGCTTATCAGCTTATTTCAAATCAGCTAAACGGGCTCTTAGTATGTGACTTCTTTAATAGTATAACTCTTCCAATAAACTCATATGAAATGTCTGCGCTAAAAGCTACACAGAAAGACCATCAAATGTGATCTCTCTTTATTGCTATCAAACAAACAGTGACTCAACAAAAAAGGCTTTTAAACTGAAAAAAGCTTTAGTTATTTAAGCCAAATTCCAAGCGATGTCAACGTGTTTGTGAAGATCTTCCACAAGAGTTCCAATAAGAACCATAAATCAACAGTCAAAGCATGGATCTTTCTGATTTCGAACAAAATCAAAAACTGACCTGTATCTTTGGAAAGGTTGCTGATAAGTTCTTGAACCCCTTCTTTGCCAAGAGTATCCTTCAAGTAGTTGGCTGCAGCTGCTAGCTCCTCGGGAGTCACTTTCCCATCATAATCCCTGTATAACAAAACAACATGCAGGTCAATTAAAAGCTAAATTTTGGATCTACACAATTGCAGATGAAAATGTAACTTCCCCGACAAATTAGATCACCATAACGAACCAGAAACCTGATCACATTAATGAGAGAAAAATATAAACATGATTAATCATTACTTCCACTTATGATATGGTAATGTTCTGCTGCATGGCTCATGATTAATATTCCACCAATTCATCTTTAAAAGATAATAACATAGATGTTCATTCAAATTTGCAATATGAGAATTACTCCGGGGGGAAGGAACAAATTTCTGCTTGCATCACTGCATGCTTGAGACCAGGTAGATTAAACAATAAGAAAAGGGCACAGAATTTCCCCAACTCCGACCTCTATTTAAAATGGCTTTTACACTAGTATATTCAAGATACTTATAAGTGGAGCCAAAACTCTGTGAGATGTATGAAAAAGAAAATGTCAAAGCCCAAAAGTGATCATCAAGCAAAAAATTTTGATAAGGATCACCAAGCAAAACACTGCTGCTCACCTGTCAAGTATTCGCCAATGGTCGCCAATTTTGGCATCGACATCATCAATTTCCTTCTCAAGATTTTGAAGCATGGAATCAACCTGAAATACATTAGCCAATAAATAACTAATTTCAAGTCAGCTGTAAGAAAACATCCTTGTCCTCTGTTAGTTTCCCTTGATTATCTTCTCCCTCTGTATCATTGAAACCTAGTGCATGTTTCTCAATTTCTAGGCTACCTTATCTGATGTTTTACTCAATTTATTTTGGGCTATAGAGGACAAAACATATGCCTTCGTCGCCTAGGAAGAATGTCTCACCTTATCTATGAGTGCAGATGAAACCTCATCATGTTCAGCAGCATGATCATTCTCATCATGAGCAGCTCTATATGCCTTGATAGCATCCAACTCACCATCTGTACCCTCTTTATCTACCATGCTATTATAAAGTTGGATCTGACAAGAAAAGGAATCCTCCATGAGTCACAGATTCTTGTTGAAGAATTACCTGACCTTATAGCGAACCAAAGATATACCTGACAAGAAAAGGAATCCTCGCTATATGCATTGCACATAAAGAAAAATACCAAAAAAACATCAACAGCAAAGAGAGCGAGGGAGCCCACAGGTGGATTTCTTTCTTTTATTTTATTTGAATTTATTTTTCGTTTGGAGGAGAGGGGTAGAGGGCGAGACAGAGGAGGATAGCTTGGAGAAGAAGGACACCCAATTAATTATCTGTTAATAATTGAATGTTCTGCTGCTTAAGCAAGTCAAAAATTGTGCAAAACCTAACTGAGGTAGCATAATCTTGACATATCAGCATTAAAGTTATGCTTCAATATATGAATTTTCTGGATTTATTAGGAAGACGGATGTAGTAATTTGCTTCTTTTTGGCTTCTATCTGAGTGATGTACTAGTTTGTACCATCTTGATACTTTATCAATAAAACCTTACCTTATCAACAACAAAAAAAGTTAAGCGGAAAATTAACCCATGCTACAATCATCAAAATTACTACTCCCTATAGTCCCAATTTATATGGCACTTCCCGAGATTCAAACTATGTGCGCTTTGACCATCATTTTAAGATATATTTTTTCATCAAATTGACATGAGAAAAATTGCAACTTATAGTGCTTTTCGTATAGCTTTTGAATATCTAAATTTCAATTTTATAATATTGAGTTAATCCAATGCAGTTTAGCTTCAAAGATTAGTCAGATTGACTCTCGATAAGCGAAAAGTGTCACATAAATTGGGACGGAGGGAGTAATTATCTCTTTTACCAAAAGGAAAAGGAAAAAGAAAGCAGGTTAAGGAGCAATTTGTTTCTTTGCCCAGAATTTATAATGTCAGTATAAACAATAACCAATACTCCCTCCATTGGAAAGTGAACATTCACCTTTACCTTTGTTTCCCATTTTCAAAAAAACAAATAGTTCAACTAAAAGCAAAACAGAAATTTAGCAGGACAAAATCAAGATCCACATGATGTCCATCAATAAAATTAGTCAATATTCATTAACAGATAAAGGGAGGTCAACATGATTAAAAGCTATAGAAAAGCAAGGGACAACAATTTAGGGAGTGAATATTGAAACAAGGAGAAGAAAAAAAGAAGCAGCAGCAAGTACATAATATAATGCAACATAACAAAGAATCATTAAGAGCTATAGTTAGTATTAACATAAGTAAGAGATTTATTTTCCTTTTCTTGGTCTGATTTCTCGACATACCTCTTTACTTACAAGCCTCAGGAACTCTTCACGCTCTTGGCTAACAGACTGCAAAAAATAGAGTTATAAGAGATTGATAGAAAAGACCAGGTACTAAACAGTCCAAAACTTTTTCGAATCCATCCTTACAGAAGCAGAAGCTAGAACAGCCAAGGCACGGCTAATTTTACATAGCTGCTCTTGTTTGTCAATTGCTCTTGCTCGAGCTTGCTCTTGTGCTTCTGTAGCAGTTGGAATAGTCATCTCTTTCAATGCCACATCCTCTTCACTACAGACAGATTCTTTCCTTCTGGTTTTCTCTTCTTCTTCTTTCTCTTCCTCCTCCTGCGGACAATTACAATTACCTCTAAGGAGAAGACTACTGATGTTTACACAACTTGATATAGAATACACATGCCTTAAGAGGCAGATTTATTTCCTGATGGATACCATAGTCAAAAAATAGAAGGGATCTTTACATAAATAGCCGGTTTGGATTCACCGTTTACATTTCCTAGCCGGTATACATAGATTATATACACTGATTATACATAGATTATATACACTGATTATACCCATATACACATTATTCATGGATTATACATCTGCCGGATATTTTAAGTGGTTGGATGGGCGGCTATTTAGGTTAATTCTTCAAAATATAGAATCCCAGTTAAGAGCACAAAAAAAGAACCACAAAATCTAGCTTTTGGGGG